TCCTCCTATAGGAGCATCGTGATACTCGAACATGATCCGCAAACGCAGATCAGTATCAATTGGAACGACAACACGTGGTGTGTCACCAGAAACGGCTGTATAATACAGTAAACTGTCGCGAGTAGCCTATCGATCTGATGCAGATCGACACGCAGGCGACAATCGTTTCAACGATTCTCGAGATGGCTTGGAGAGATGTGTCAACAACTCCACAATCTCACCATCTTGGGCATGCGCCCGCCTCACATCATCATGCAACGTTGAAGATGGTACTGAGGACGTCATAATATCAACAGTGACTGTCTCACCGTTGGGTTTCACGACTGGTTCAAATTCGGGACGACGTGAGAGTGCATCAGCGACGACGTTAAGCTGTCCTGGTTTGTACTCTACCGTAATGTTGTATTCTGCAAAGAATGACAACCACCGCGCCATTCGTTGTGAAAGGTGCGGGCTGTTTACTGCCGTGCGTAATGACGTATGTTCAGTGCAAACGATGAAGGGTCTATCTCCTAATAGATAGAATCTGAACTTCGCGAGTGCATACTTCATGGCAAGGAGTTACTTTTCATGCACTGGATAGTTCTGCTCAGCTGGTTGCAGCTGACGCGACTGATAGCAGACGACGCGTTCAACGCCTTAAAGGTCGTACTGCATTAATGCACAGCCGATTGCGAAATCGCTGGCATCACATACCACATGAAATGGCCTGTCCTGATCGGCTATTGCTAGGACTGGGGATTGTATCAAGCTCTTCTTGATACCATCAAAGGAGCGCTGGCATTCAGCGTTCCATAACCACCTCTCGTTCTTTTTCAACAAACGAGAGAGGTGCACAGTCATCTCGGCGTAATTGCGTGAGTACTTATGCAAATACGCCGCTAGCCCAAGGAATTTTCGAAGACCTTTGACGTCGACTGGCACAGACCAGTCGGTGATCGCCTTGATCTTTTCGGGATCAGGACGTACACCGTTCTTATCAACGATGCACCCAAGAAGTGGTATTTCGCTTGCTGCAAATATACACGTCTTGATGTTTGCATACAATTGATGCTTTTGCATGATTGTAAGAACCTGTCGGACGTGGTATCTGTGAATCTCAACACCCGATTTTCCAACCATATCTCGACTATGGATGAATACGTCATCGAAATAACTCGGCGCGAATTCTCGTACTGGTCTCAACAGATGTGATACACATCTGTTGAACGTGGCAGGGGCATTACTAAGCCCTTGTGGCATTACTAGCCATTCCCAGAGCATGCCGCTAGGCGTGCTAACTGCGGTATAGGGTATATCCCGTTCCCGCATTAGGATTTAATAGAAGCCATCCATCAAATCCATGGACGAAAAGATGGTACTCTTTGACATACCATCGATGATTACGTCCTTCCTTGGTATCGGCGTCTGAGCCGGTACCGTTGCAGCATTCAACTTGTTAAATGCATGCACTATCCGCCACCCTCCTGTTGCTTTTCGCACACAGAAGGTCGGAGAGCTATGTGGGGAAGTTGATTCCCTCACATGGCCCGCAGCTAAACGATCGGCAAAGAACTTGTCGATCGCAAGTACTTGTTCACGAGGCAGTGGCCACTGCTTCATGACACAGTACTTCGAGCCTGGTTTAAGCTCGACCTCGTGTCGAATACCTTTATCCTTCGGTAATTCGCACGGAACAGTTTCAGGGAATACATCCTTGAATTCAACCAAATCTTCATAGAGAGGATTTGTCTTGAGCGATTCCCATGATTGTGAGTCATATCGCTCAGCTCGTGTCTTTTCATCTAGGACACTCTCGTCCATAGATGAACTACTGAGAACTCTCTCGTTCTCAGTAACCCTGTTGCTGACCTTATGTCGGTTACACACTCGTCGTCAGCGACAAGTACGCAGATCTGCTTGACTTTGCCACTACGCAGATCACGCAAGAACCTTTTATGTTCGAGCGTTGGCAACTGAGTGATCTCCGAAGTTAACTTCGGAGGCGCAATCAGATCAAGTGTATAAGCGCCTACACTTGATCCGTTATTGACTATGACATTCAATGTCTCTGTCATTTCCTGGACTTATTCCCTCAGGCTTCGAAGGAATTATTCCTTCGGCTTCCCGGGGACTTATTCCCGCGGGTTTCGGGGAGCTTATTTCCGCCGTATTTGTAATCTTGGGACTTATTCCCTTTACTTCCTCTAGCTGGGGTTGCGCAACCACAGCGAGATCGTCTACGAAAGACTCTCCAGTCGATCTAGGATTATCGTTTCGCTTAACCTGAGCGATCGATTGTTTCTCTTCTAGATGTTCCCCGCTAGGGATACATCTTTGTCCCAGTCCACTCGACTTATTCGAGTGGTGGACCTTCGGCGCAGCCTGTGTTTCCTCACAGCCGCCGGAACTTTGCTCCGAAGTGTAACTGTTTGGTACACTAAGGTTTTGTGCAGTCGTACTAACGACCGTACCACAAGTGAGGCCATCGCACTCACTCGTAGTACATCCACACGCTTGTGGACGCTCCAAAACGTTCACCAGATGGCCATCTGATGAACAAGCGGCAGGCATCGTTACTGTTCGATGTTGCCAGTTTACCCGTGGTTCGTACCTTCTGAGCCACGGTATTCCAAGGATGACATCAAATTTGTCATCCAAATCCAATACGATAAAGTCATCGTCATATTGGGTATCTTCTAGCGTATAGTGAATCTCCACTATACGCTTCATGACGGTTACGGATGCGCCCTGTCACAAGACGTACCGTCATCCTCGTAGGAGGCGTGTCACATTCACTGAACTTAAAGTGACCATCTTCTAGCGATTGGCGTCGCACAAAATTGTTGGACGCCCTACAATCGACTAGAGCTCGAAGGGACAACTTATTTGTCACTTCGAGTTTCAAGGTAATGAGTGAGATCTCATTACCTAGAGCAGCAACGCACAACGTTTTTGTGCTGGGAGCAACCTTTATCAAGAGTCCTACTAATTCTCTTGACGTTGCTGTACCAGTAGGGTGCTCCGCACCTACTGATCCTGTCCGTTTTTTGACGGTCCATCCCGTTGTTGCGTCTTTGCACCAACTGCGGACCCTCGTCCCTGCCCCTTTCTCATGGGTGGACGGTCACTACGCCCAGTGTCGCGAGACACTGGACGAGGGGCACTACACTCATAAGCGTAGTGTCCTGTCTTTTGACATCTGTTGCATCTCTGCAACTTCTTGTAGCCTGTAGAGCGAGCCTTCTCGCTATCTACATAACAGAGTTCCATCGGCTCTGGACCTCCGCTGTCATATCGTCTCGGTTGACGATATGATGTCGAGCTGGCGCGAGCTTGTCTCAGACTGAAGTCTTCCTGTTCCGCAATGGAAATGGCTTGTTCTAGTGAATCTAGTTCAAGCCGGAACAGGTGAGTCTTGACGGGACCATCCGCAAGACCCTGCATGAACACCGAAACCAACGTGTGTTCATCCACCGGATTGGAACTTATACAGCTCGTGAGATGTCGTATATGTTGAGCGTAAGCGTGCACATCACGCTTACCCTGCTTGAGCTTCAAGAGTTCGGTTCGAGCCCTGAACTCAGCTCTAGGCGGTTCAAACGTTTGTCTGAGCCGCGACTTGAAGACTTCCAACGACCCAAACGCATATGGGTCGTGCAACTTGAGCCCCAGTGCCCAAGTCTTGGCACGTCCTGCCAGATTTGACTGGGCAAATGCAACTTGCATTTCCCCGTCGTCGATGCGACGCGCCCTTATGGCGTCATCCAATTCGACGAACCATCTCAAGAGGGAGTGCTCTTCGACTCCCCTATACTTGGAGATGTCAATCTTCAAGGTCTCGGGTCGACGCGAGTGCATCGACCCGCCAGCAGCAGCCTGCTGCTGTCTCAACAGTTCAAACTGTTGAGCACCTTGTTCTCTCAACAACTCTGCTTGTTGAGAACCTTGTTGGTGAAGCAAGGCTACTTTCTCGCGTTCAGCGTCAAGTTCATTTTGAATGAACTTGGCGATAGTAGCATGTTGGGCATCTCTATTGAGAGCCTCTAGCATGACGCTAACAGCATGGATGCCCATGGTCGAACCCATTCGTTCAACCGCATCCCATTCGACATCGCTCAAATGGGAGTAGCCGTCACGCGTAGCGTGAAAGCTTTGGTCATCTTCATCATCCAACATATTCATGTTGGATGTGAACGCGGTCCTTGGACGGACTACGAAGTGCTACCAGGTGTAACGGGGCACCCTGAAGCTTGTACTGGTGACAGTACAAGCTACTTATTCTAATGACAGAATAAGGCGGTGCCTCGTAACTTCACGTACACTCGTACGTGCAGAGGAAGACGGTAAGAAGAAGCGAGTACTTGGTTAAAGTAAAAAGTAGAACTGTATTTATAATAGTTAATGTCTGCAATAAATCACTATTTATCTTCATCTAACTATGTCTAAATACAAATGTGTAAATCAGTTATCTGCTCACCACTCATTGCGTGCGTCTGTCGTGGCGCGTCTTCGTTGGTTGATATAATGGCCTATATCAACTAATTAGGAACTACTCGTAAGTGCAACAGAATATTTGTCCTTATGACAATATTCTGAGAATATAACTCTTATAGTTATATTCTATTAACAATTTCTTATAAATTGTTATGTAACGATTCACCCCGTTACACTTCTCGATTCTTCCAAACCTATCCATGAACATAAAAGCAGTAGACGGTGCTATGTTAACAAGATTGCGAAGTGGCCAGACAATTGGCTTTTAAGCTCAACGTGACCGCGGAGCGGTTTTTATCGCGCGTTGCTGCGTGGACCACAAAATCTTGATGGATAGGACGCCACAGTTCGTACTGACATGAAACCGCAGGTCCAACGCTGAACACACTTTCACTTTCGCTTTCCAAACCCTCTGTCTTGGGGTCTGCTTTCCTCAGTCGCTGTCGAAGCGTGATCTGGCACATTCTGGTTCTAAACCCCTCGATTTAACGCTATCCATCGGTTGACATCTGTCGTGTGCTTCCATGGTCAAATCCTTCCTTTTCCTTGGGCTGGGGCTCATTGTGTCCAGTGGGACTGGTACCTTCTCGGCTCCAGTAGCCGAAACGCTCACAAAATCGACGACGCCGCATCTGGACCAAACTGCCCAGACGAGCGCGGACGGCAAGCGGACAATTCGGGCGGCCGTCCCCGATAACGAAGCCTCTTCTGAAAATAGGGCTTTCGTGGACCCTGTTGCGCGCTTAAAGGGTAGCAGTAATTGGCTGAATACGACACTTAAAAAGTGGACTGGTGTCGAATTCGTGACGGAGAAGGTACAAAACAGCGCGCTGAAACGGAAGCTGAACGAGTTATTCTTAATTCATGGGAAGAAACTTTTTGACCTGATCGAACGGATCAGAAAGCCGTTCAGGCAATTCAAGTTCGACCGAAATGTGAAAAAGGCTGAACGCTTAATCAACAAAGACAAGAAATTCAAGGCTTTCGTCGACGAAGGCATCACTCCAAATGCGTATTTGGTTGCGCAGGAAACTTTGATGAAAAATCCCAAGCTGGACGCTGCTACGCGGAAAAAGAAAGTTAAGCAGATTGAGAAGTATTTAGCGCTTCACGACCTGCTGAACTCAAGTTGACGAAAGCTCGAGGATGTAGTGCTTGTTGCTGACGGTGGGATGTGGTAATCTTTTACTGGTCAACATGCAGTGATAGCGGGCGGAAGGGTGCATTGCATACCGGTCAGCAAGGCGTCTAAGAATTCGTAGTGACTAAAGACGCAGTAGTATTGCACCATTTTTCTTATGCGTTGTCATTGCGTTAATAAGTTCGCCTTAGAAAATTGACCTTGGCTGAGGTGGCATCACCTTGCCGATTGCTGAAGGTAAACGTCTCAACCTCTTGAAGTGCTTGAATAAAATCGAGTAATTCAGGAAGATGTCAAGGGTAGACTTGTCGATGAGCACGAGCTCTAAGATAGCCGTACACTTTTAACATTTTGTACGCCAACGATGCTAAATAGTCGTAAATAGGTCCCTCTTTTGCTACAGCAATAAAATAATCACGCCGAGTCGTCAGCAGGATCAACGGGTTGCGTTTTGCTCGGGACGCTTGTGCCAGGACGACCAGTATACATTTTTGTAACTTACGACCTCTCAAAGCTCTGCATATCATCGACGCCTCCCTTAGCATGATGATAGAGACGCAAGCCAAACTTATCTTGCTCAAAATCAACTTTGTAGCAATAGCCGTGACGAGACGACAAATGCATAACTGCAATCGTGGTCGGCAACTTGTGTGCCTGATTTTCTTTACGATTATCTCAGAATGCCGGACTACCAATGCCGTGAAAAGCCAAGACTTTTCGCTAGTGAAATCTTACCATGGCCGCAAGGACATGAGGCGGGAACAGTGTCGTAATTTTGCGAGGAGTAAACCTAGCAATCGGACAGCGAGACAAAAACACTGTTCGACAAAGTAATATGAGGCACACTCGACCTTTGGCTTGGTGGCCCTGTAGATTCGATGCGTCAAAATTTCAAACGATGGAAGACTGAAAGAGCGAAACCTGAAGGCTCAATAGCGGCTCCCAACATTATATCGATCATAACATTCCGTGAGAGAGTATATTGAACACGCGATATAATCATTTCCAACAAAAAATTGCTGCCAGCGAAAATGGATGTGAATCTAGTCACGCTTTCTTTCTAGAAACTGAATGTTCGGATGCGAACCCAATAATCGTCTCACAAATTGCTACAGTTCCTAAAACCGGAGAGATGCGTGGAGAATGATCATCATCATCATCAACATCATCATCATCATTTTTACCGTATTCCAAAATGTTAGCACAGTTTTGTAATATCGGAAAGCGCCGTCAGGTGCAATTGCGACGACCTCTTTATTTTGTTCATTTTTGTAAGATATTCGGGGTACAACGTCGGACATCGTCTCAGTCAACGAAAAAGTATTTTTCATCACCAACATCCAACCGAATAGTATCCACAGCTTCCATCGCGTAACCCCATCCCAGCATCAACATGTACAGCTCCACTACGAACGCCCCGCCACTGCCTGATGTGTCCAAGCAGGACACGCACGCCGACGTCGAGGCTTTACGCGCCAGTTTCGCTACAGGCGCAACGAAAGCCGTGAAGACACGCAAGTCGCTGCTTCTGGCGCTGCAGTGTCTTCTGAACGAGAACGAAGCGATGATTAATGAGGCTGTATGGAAGGACTTGCACAAACACCCGATGGAGCTATTGGTGACGGAGGTGTCGCTGCTTAAGTGCGAAATTCAGGATTATATCGACTATGTAGCGGATTGGGTCAAGCCCAAGATCAAAATGACAAATGTCGTAAACCTCCCGGGCCTGTCGTATGTCCGACCTGAACCTCTCGGTGTTGTGTGTGTCATTGGTACATGGAACTACCCCATCAATCTGCTGCTTATGCCGTTGGTAGCAGCTCTGGGCGCAGGGAATTGCGTGCTCGTGCGACTGCCTGGAGATGATACGACGAGGTATTTGAACGACGTTTTGTTGAAACTATTTGACAAGTACATGGACAAACGCTACGTGCGTGTCGTGTACGGAGGTGTGAATGAGACCAAAACGATGCTACAAGAACGTTTCGACCTTATTTTTGCCACTGGTGGCACTTTTCTGGGCAAAATAGTAGCCCAAGCTGCAGCGCAACACTTGACGCCGACGGTGCTGGAGCTCGGAGGCAAGTCGCCGTGTATTGTGGACAGTACAGCTGATTTACAGCTGGCTGCGAAACGCATTGCGTGGGGAGCTTTTGTGAATGCTGGACAAACTTGTGTCCGTCCGGACTATCTGCTGGTGGACGCAAAAGTCGGGGACCAGTTCGTTCAGCTGCTACAAGAAGAAATCGTGGCACAGTTCGGCTCCGGCAACGTGCAGTCATCGGAAAGCTACGGTCGTGTGATCAATCAGCGCATGTTTGACCGCTTAGTACGCATGCTGGAGACAGACCGCAAATGTGTGACGCATGGTGGAGAGACTGACGCCAAAGAGCGCTTTATTTCACCGACGCTGTTGAATTTCCGCTCGGACCTTCGCTCGTTTTTGTCAAGCGCTTCAATGGGCGAAGAAATATTTGGCCCTCTGCTGCCGATCTACTACTACACCACTGGTAATTTGGATGAGCCCGTCGACTTTATTACTGCACGAGACAAACCACTCGCGCTTTACCACTTTAGCTCCGACGGCAAGATGAAGGAGCGTGTGGTAAATGAAACGTCGGCTGGCAGCATGGCAATAAACGATACCATGATGCAGATAGCAAACGCTAATCTTCCGTTCGGTGGTGTCGGTAGCTCAGGCATGGGATCATACCACGGCCACTACGGCTTCAGGGCCTTTTCGCACTTCAAGGCAGTGCTCTACAAGAATGGTGTATTGGATCTGCCTCAGCGCTATCCTCCGTACACACCGGCCAAGAAGCGTATTCTGGCCATTTTCATGTACCCGTTCACTCGATTCCAGATGCGACTAATGAAGATGGTTGGCGTCGCCATAATTGCTGCTATTATGACGATCGTCAATGGATACTTCGTCTAAGAACGCGCACGTCTAAGCGACGTGTGCGTGGCGAGTCCAATATCAGGGTGTGGGACTACAAAAATGGATTCAGTGTATCTTTACAGCATCAATCAGTGGTGTCAGGATCGTACAGTGTCTCATTTAGCTACGAATTGTAGCCATTAATTAACGCTGAATCACTTTATCGTCTATAACATCGCTTCTGTCTATGTTAATTCCATTTCTCCATCGTACCGGCTAAGCTCTCATCCAGATAATTCTCCATCGTGCCGGCTAAGCTTTCATCTAAATTATTCCCATCGTTCCGGCTAAGCTCTCATACAGAGATTTACCAGGCCATTCTTAATTTTCATGTCAAAGTAGTTGGTGTCGGCTGAAGTTCTCCGCCAGTGTGTTCGTTCCATATCACCCTTACGAGTACCGACTTTTGCCGTGATGTGGCTTCTACTAATAACAAATTAATCTGTCATACGACTTTTTATCTAGGGAATAATAATTAAGAATTTTCATTTCCACCACACTTTTTACTGTTTCCACCAAACCATTGTTTTGTTAGAATAGCTACAGGCGCATATCACTGCTAAGCCACCATACGATCTTGTATACGAATGTAGAAGAATTTCCTAGCGGTAACATTGATGTAAAGTGTGGAAATCAGATAGGAGCAACCAGTTCATTTGCTTTTACGCATCTACTTAAGAACTCGATTTTTGGTGTAAATTTATTTTGCTGGCATGTACAATCATTGTGTGTCGGCAGTTTCTAAAAATTTTGCAGTGATTTCTTCAAAAGTAGATTAAAAATTTGATAGAAACAAGCGCAGATCATACTCTGGAGTGAACTTATCGTGTGGGTTGGTGGTGTCTTTGGTACGATAGAATCTATTTAAGAGACGTTTGACTTAAGCGCTTCGTCAACGCATGACCTTTGCTAGTATCGACACAAACAACATTTTTGCAACAAGGATTGTGCTGAGAGGTAGTCTGCCAGTAAGTTATTCATTTAAGCCAGTGATTGATAAGGTTTTTTACAAAAGGATCGCGGCGTGCTTGGTCCACATCAACCATACGATTACATTCTTGTACTGTAATAGTGTTACAACTCCAGCTTATGCTCAAATCACTAAGCGTGGTAGTAAAGGGCGTGAATTCGATCATTTTCAATTTCTTGGTCTCTGTACACAAACAATTTGTGAGGCTGAATTGAACCAACCTGACCTATTGTTTCCGGATCTTTGAGTTTCCTGTGTACGTAGGTATTTACAAATCAAATATTCGCTGGCTAAAATTGGATAAATGTTATGTGAAATAAGCAAAGGTGTTAACGTCTCCCCTTAATACACATCATTAACCTCTTAACTCCATTAACCATCAGTGAACAGTCGACGAATTTCATTCATCTATGAAAATTTTGTGCCTCGTAAGGACTTGCGTATGATTCAAAACTACTGTGGCAGGACCCGCGATTTATTAAATACCCACCATTGACGAATGAAGGGATATCAAGATTTTCTTACTCGAGTATCGTTGGCTCTGAATTAGAAGTGCAATGCCCCGATCCAGGTAAAGAATGCAATATTGATAGACCAAAAAATGATTCTAGCAAAAAAACATAATCCTGTCAGAACAATGGCCGGCTTATAATTAAAAAGGAGAAACATACTATCGGTATAACGGTAGATGGAGTCGAAGCTATATGAAGCCCATATAATCTTACGACGGCTTACCGGTTTGAAAGTGTTCGAAAACTGAAACATGTTACGATAAATGCTTGCAATGCCGTACTGGTTGGCCGCACAAAGACCCCAGCAATCTTTATAATGTGACAAATAAAGAGGTGCATATGAGGGTTGCTGCCCGCACACGCTCGCCACCAAATCGAGATATAGATTTTAATCTCAACTTCGTGTAAGTTATTTCAAACACGGTCGTCGACTTTAGCTGTATACATATGTAGCACATAACGTTCGTGTACGACAAAAAATCTCTTCTAAGGCAGTTATTTTCCTAAATTTGATCGATCCCATACGTCACATTTCAGCAAGATCACGGCACAATCTGGCCTTTCACCAGAGGTCCAATTTACGTAGCATGTAAAAGATGGAGTTGTTGCGTTCAAGAAGCAGAATCAAATTAAGTAGTTAACCCGCATTACTAGCGGGTGCTAATAGTCGTAAAGATTGACCCTATAATATAATGACCTCGAATCGATCAAAGTAGGTATGCATGCCTTCCCAAGCCTCCATAAACCGCAAATGATTATGAGTAGAATCCGATAAGGGTTTGCACTTCCTTCGCCGTATTAGGGAAGTGCAAGCCAGAAAATACGGTGAAATAGTTGATGCGTTGTAGCTGTTTGAAACTTATTTGGCAACTCCGTCATACTGTAAAATGCATGAGTATTTGTGTAAACTTTATGGGCATTATAACAATCGTATGGTCACTTTATTCGTCACAGTGATAATGTTTAATTCTAGCTGCACGGGTAAGCTTTTATGACGGGTTTGTTCGGCTTCTCCTAATCGTTCTCGATTACCGATTAAAAGTAGAGAAAGCTTTAAATATATTCCTTGATACAAGTAATCCAGTTCGGAGAACTGAATCAAGCTGCAAGACACTACACAGCTGTAGTCGCTGAAGAATTAGTATGATGCTGTCAATGTTTATATAATCCCAGTGCAGTATACTTGGGCAACGCTATCAGCCTTTGCTTATGAGCGTCCAGCATTTGCCAATGACATCATATTCACCATTAATCAAATTAAGGTCGATCACGAGCGTGCGTCACAATAGTGACCTTGCCAAAATGTGACTTCGTACGTGCCTTTATACCTTTGAGACAGGCAAGATCGTATTCAGCACAAATAAGGTACACCTAACCGCGTCGTTTTCAAACACACAGACACACAGACAGAAGGAGAAGTACGATTACTGAAGCGCGGCATTCACCTTGCGCACGATCACAAATAGCTTCACCCTTCGACCTTGCCAACTGTACAGTCTGTAATTGCAATATTATGCATGCACATACCTGGAGCAAAAACCATGATCTGTTAGGTTAGTGCAGAGAAAATAAATTGCTGTATGCGCACCATTTTTGGCGTTTAGATTCGATCATGTATGGTACGTAGCGCCAACCGATGTCTGGTTGTGTAAACGTAATCAACATACGAGCAGTACAACCCGACGCGCTTCTCTCAAAATAAACCAAGTCCGCTGTAAAGGTTATAATCGAAGTTGCTCGCTGGCATTGGCCCCACCACTCGTCGCGACCGCATTAACTCGTAAAGCATAAATTCACCACCGCTGGGGATTGGACCAACAAACGATATCTATCGCTTGATCAACACTGGGCCTCAAGTTCTTGTATCGTCTTTGCGGTGAGTTATCGACGCAAATCGCTATCTATTTTTCGACAGGGCATCATCTAGCATCCGACCCTCTTCTTGATATAAGTAAAGTATCTACCGCTACATGACGTGAATTGCAGGGGGGGCGTTACGCATATTCTGTTGGCAATTGAAAATGTGTTGAAAGGGCTTTTCAACAGACTGCGAATTCTTCGTCGCTGGCTTTAAATCTAACGGCAACCTCCGTTTTAGAATAAAAACCCGCTCTTTGTCGTAACAGCAGTATAAAAGCCGCTGCTTTCCGCTCAGTGATCGCAGCGCGGTTTCTTAGATTGATAGAACCTTAGGCACCCTACTACTTCATCGTAGCATCTATCAACACGCATAGTAGCTTAAGTATTATTTTGCTCCCCATCTTGTCTCGTCCGACCTCGCGTGCGCGATTTAGAGCAAAGCTGTTCAATGTGAAGCCTGGGCCGCAGATTTGAGATGACGAATGCCATCGTACCTCTGTTGGTCCAAGCCTCAACAATTGACGTGCAAACTTCCTGCGCAGTTGTTTTAGCACACATGTGTGCGCTTATAGGAAAGAAAACTTTGTGCGAGTGGATAAAAGAGAGAAAAGGTTTCGACTAGGAACCTGTAAAAAACTGTACAAATGTTGTAAAAAAAAACTAAGAGCGCATAATAGAAATGTTTTTACTTACAGACGCGTACCATACGCGTTTGGGCCCACCGCCGCGGACCTCCTTACTGGTTTACTGAATGCAAAGTGCGAGATCTCAGTGCAGCGGCCTCTGCCGCTGCCACACGTTTCTCTACGCATCGAACATTTAAGAATTACTTCTTAAACGGACTAATCTAGCACTATCTAGCAAACTTAACCGGCGTACAACTAGTACCTGGCTAGGTATGGAATATTACTTTTTAACAAATGCGTCGGTCACAGTACACGAAATGCTCGTGGCGCGCAAAAGAAGTCGCGGCGTCTTATCTACCGCCTTGAAGCGCAAAGGTCATCGTTTCTGAGTCTGATTCCTACAACCGCCTACCTATTCTAACTCCTCGTCAACAAGTCCCCATCATCATACCATCCATGGTCGTAATTACCTTTTTACACAGCTCACGTAATGACGTTGACTCAGTCTCTCTTAAGTTCAGGAGCTCCCATCATGACGACCACGAAGTTCTCGCTCCTCATCCCCCTGTGTCTAGCAGCCCTGGCGCTACTTGTGCAGGCTGATTCGACTCCCACGATCACCACCCAAGTGTACTTCGATGTAGAAATCGACGGTCAACCCGAGGGTCGCATCGTCATGGGTCTCTACGGCGAGGTCGTTCCAAAGACGACGGAGAACTTTCGTGCATTGTGCACGGGAGAGATGGGCATTGGCGAGAGCGGGAAACCCCTCCATTACAAGGGCAGCATCTTCCATCGCATCATTCCCCAGTTTATGGTGCAGGGTGGCGACTTTACTCTCTCTAACGGCAGAGGGGGTGAGAGTATTTACGGCACCAAGTTTGAAGATGAGAACTTTGACCTGTACGTTATTTTTGGAGGATATTTGGAATTTCTTGAGAAAAGAAAGAATTTAATTGGTGCCTTTTCTTGATTGCGCTGATGCTTGAATTGTGTAGGAAACACGCTGGCAAGGGCACGCTCAGTATGGCAAACGCCGGCGAGGATACCAATGGTAGCCAGTTTTTCATTTGCACGGTCCAGACTCCGTGGCTCGACGGTCACCACGTCGTCTTCGGACGCGTCGTGGATGGCATGGACGTGCTGGACGCGATGGAAAAAGCGGGCAATTCAGATGGAACCCCTTCTAAGGTGGTGACCGTCGCGGACAGCGGGGAGCTGGCCCCTGACGACTTTGTCGATGTAGAGTAGGCCACATGTCGCAATGACGACGGCTCTCAATGACGAGCGGCCTGATGATGTCGCAAGTGGGAATGAACGAGTCTTGGCTTTTTGGAGCAGAGCTATGTTGAGGTCAGTACGATGGATCATAGTAGCAGTACTGTTAGTTGAATTGCTTCGGTAGTTTTGTTTGATCATGTCTTCTATGCTGGAAGCCCCGTGCAGTCGGCTGATAGATTGCCCGAGTCGCCGTCTTTGCTGCTGATACCGCATCAGTATGATGTTCGTAATTCTAGACAAGTGGTAACGAATTGTGTTAACTGTGAGGCCTTTCGGGCTTCCCCCTTTATTATCTACAAGCACACACCAATCGCCTGATGCTTAGAGACCTGGTCAAACTGTTTGAATAAATTTCTTGCCAAGGGACCTGTTCGAATACCTACAAAACAACTGCGAAAAAAAACAAGGAAAGCAGGACTCAAATCGTAAACTTGACCATGTCTTCCTCGCATGCTTGAAGCTGCTACAGTGTCAGACTGCTTTTAGCAGCTCATAATGTACTCTTTTATAACAAATGACGCTGACAGCGGATCCTCTGATATTAAATATTATGACGATTACGTTATCGGAACCATTCCGATCGAAAACGCCATCTTTTTCTACAGAATAGTTTGCCGCGTTATGGAAGACTGTAACAGGAAGGGGGTGTTTTATTTCATGTTATATTCAAAAAGTAGTCTCTTTGGGACATCATAGAAACGATCATTTTTCTTGAATGCAATCTGGGGAATAATGCTTACTTGCAATCGACAAAGCCTTGGTCATTGTTCAAATAGACCATGATACGAACGTATAAGGCCGGCGCATGGCCGACGTACGCGACATGTGGTGAGCTAGATCTTGTAATGTATAATTGCAGTCAAAGACAATGAAGAAATATAAAAACGGGTTTTTAGTGGCAAAGAACTTGATACACTGAATACAATTTTCCTTTTTCATGCATGAGCGTGTTCTTCTATTTTACCGCTTCTTCTACACATCAGTGCGCGCTAGGTTTCCAGGTTTGTGCATTTACTGCGGACAAAGTGAGTAGCTTATATAAGAATTGTCAGTACAAGCAAGGTGCATCGCTATAAAGAACGATGTCTTACCGAGTGTCTATTTCCACCTGGAAAAGGAGCTTTGGAGTTTGCATCGAGAACGGTGAGTAAAATATAATGGCCTAAACATATACTTTAAGATTACATACGAATGATAGAAATTGTAGAGTAGATATCGAGATTGGATCGCAGTCAATCAAAGAATAGCGTCCTTGCACTAACGGGACACCATCTTAGCCCCAAAATTTTTGGATCGAAGTATAAAATCACAAGGCTTTCAAATTTTGATGCTGCACCTTATGAACAACACCCTTATCAGGCAATCGTAATTCCACGACCCTGCAATTCAGCTTTGCACTCAAAAACGGTTAATTTTTTTAGGAATGTAAATAAGTTGTTTGCGGAACGCAACTTATTTAAATGGTTTGAATGGGTATAAGAATATTACATGGTGGGTGCGCATCGAATACTGTCGGATAATTATTTAAGGCTTTTGCACCGCAACTAACAGAATGTGCATTAAAAATTGGATGACGACGATATAAAATGGACAAAGTACTTGATCAGAAGAGACTTAAGAATGACTAGTAATTTTGCATTGCGTACGAACGAACACACTTCACAAGTTCTTGCTCGTCAAAGCCACATGACGCATCTTGGATTGCACAATTTAAAAGTAACGAACACCTTGTGCGTGGCAACCGAATGTTAGAATATCGAGTCATCGTTCGATGATTTTTCTCATCACTAGATAAACAAACTTGTAAAGCCTCACTTATGTAAAATTCCTGAATTTATCTTATGCATTTGCAACTGTACCACAGTATCCCTAACCATACCTACATTTTCGTGGCATACGCTACGGCCTCATTTTACGATAACATCAAAATGCTAAATATGAATAAATTGCCTTAGAATGCTACTCGAGATAAGTTTCGACGTCAAAATGTTCAGTACTAGCGTGCCGATGATTTAACCTTTTGCGAGCTAGTATATACGTCTACAGGTGAAGACAAACTTTTGCCATTAGCGTTTTAGTTGTAATAGCGATCCTTGCTCGCTCCCAACGCTTATTATGGCCATATTTAAGACGCGATAGTACCAGAGCTTCACTAAAATTTCAGGCAACAATGCGACCGTGACCGTGGGGCTTTCGATGTGGGTATGCACGTTAACAAAATGATATTTTGGTCAGATTTTGTCACGATGTCAAGTTTAAAGATGTTTCTGATAAATTTACGCGGAATGTCATTTCTCAGATTTTAATTTGTAGATTTGCTATAAATTCTATCGATTTCCCAACGTAACGGGGTAGCCTGTTACATGATTTTGACATCAAACGGTGTCAAAAGGGAAATTGTCAAGTGCGACAATCTTCTGCCAATTTTACCCGTGACAGGTAATTTAAAAGGAATGCTATCCTCTAAGAATTTTTTTCATGCGCTGCCAGAAGTTTAGTTGATAATAGACATATCAACCAATTTTACCATCAGTCGCTACTAGATGCGCGCAATGGGTGGTGAGAAGGTTAGTGTCATACGACAATGTAGATTAAAGTATTAAGATAAAGACTGAAGTTAAATCAATAGCTTAACTATATTAAATACGGTTCTCTTCTTACCTTTACTCGAACGAGCTGCTTCAGTAGATTACCTTCCTCTGCTCGCACGAGTGCACGTGAAGTTTCGTGTCACCTAACCAAAGGGGTGCCCCGTTACACACAATTTGAATGAGTTAATTTGCAAAAAAAAAATTGTAGCGGACTGCGTGCAAACAATCGACGGAAGACAGAAAGGCCCGCCACAATTCCAGACGCTTCAGCTTATCTGCAAACTTGCAACACGACCCACAATCAATATAACATCTATGAGAAATCCCACATCTTCTAACGCATTGCAGTCTATATTCGAGGTCAAATCTAGAGACGCCAAAAATAGCGCGGCCTGCTGGTGCCTGTTTAAGCGTCTACGAGGGTCGCGACGAGGTCGAGGTCGGCCAGAATGGTCGCCCACTCAAAAGAACTGGCAACATCAAATTTTTCGCCTTGCCATTCTACCCGCACATGTACCGCATTCATTTAGAGTCTCTGCACCTGAACTCGTTGGCGCCCTACAAGGAAATGTCGAACGCCAAAAAGCCATGTGCTATGAGAGTAAGATTTAGGCGTCGAACCGCTGCAACATCATTAGAATCCAAAAGACGACACACTGACGTATGCCACCAGTGCTCGTATCGTCACACCCATTTTTGGCGATGTGTCTATTGCGACAATAAGGTGCTAGCCAATAATTAAGTCGAAGAATACAGTGACGAATTGTGGCCGACACGATCGACAAGAGAACTGTCAAGAAGTCTAAGGAGTAGGCCAACACTTACAGCTGTTCTTCAGGAAAGAGCACGATGCTGATTGATATTAAGTCACCATCAAATATGTCATGCGGCTAGAATTGGCGATGAAAAACATTTCGACTGGCTTGTCGCTCAGGAAATTCGCGGTCAGCATTCAACACCGAAAGAACAACACCAGAGCCTCAAAACTGACTTAAGTTGATGACGCGATAGTTGGCCAGTACGTCTGCGCATTTTTAGGGGCCCCTTTGAGACATCTCAGACACGATGAGCCACATGTCAGTTTAGGCAGTTTCGCTTGACTTTAGTATTTACTTTGATCAGTCATTTTTGGATAATAACCTGCGACTGTGTTCTACAGGTTGGTCTTCAAAACATCTATTTATTAAAGCTACCGATGTTCGATTGTTACATGGCGGAGAACATCTTTAACTTGCTCATTTAGTTTCTGGAGACATTCTGTACAGACTCGCACACCAAATTGCTAAATTTTTCTTGAGATGGAAAGAGTAGCATTACCGTGCGACGCACTGGTCTCTTTACACGCAGCACTTTGAGAACTTCACAACATGCTGCGAGTATGGTGCGTGCCGCATCAGATCGATGTTGTCTCTATGTTGGCCGCTGACAGCCTTTTTGACAGCGCCTTAATTAATATTTTATAAAACGTTGTCCGTCTTCTTGCGGACTTGAAAAAACTGGATCATCACAAATTGCTCCAGGTTCCCAAAAAATTAAAACCTGTAGACGCTTCTTGATTAATTCCCTGACTATTAAAAGAAGCATCGCCGGCAGATTATTGCGCACATCAAAACAAATTACCCTGAGAATCTGCCAGCGGCTAAAAGTTTCAGTGAACTACGAGTTGGCGTTTTCATTCGATGAGATCGACATCATTATCAATAAGCTGTAGTGCCAGTAGCCTTTTTGCGTAACAGAATGAGTTTGTCAACGCATAGATAGTCACTCTAACTAAGATCTTTGCGTCGACTCTATTTATGTAAGAAAGTGAAACAAGGACGGCGAGATTAAATATGTAGCGGTAAGCTCTGTGCGTAGTGACATCGCCAATATCGAACACTGCATTTGTAACGGGGCACCCTGAAGCTTGTACTGGTGACAGTACAAGCTACTTATTCTGATAACAGAATAAGGCGGTTCCTTTGAACTTCAGGTACACTCGTACGTGCAGAGGAAGACGGTAAGAAGAAGCGAGTACTTGGTTAAAGTAAAAAGTAGAACCGTATTTATAATAGTTAATGTCTGCAATAAATCACTATTTATCCTCATCTAACTATGTCTAGATACAAATGTGCATATCAACTATCTGCTCACCACTCATTGCGTGCGTCTGTCGTGGCGCGTCTTCGTTGGTTGATATAATGGCCTATATCAACCAATTAGGAACTACTCGTAAGTGCTGCAGAATATTTGTCCTTATGACAATATTCTGAGAATATAACTCTTATAGTTATATTCTATTAACAATTTCTTATAAATTGTTATGTAACGATTCACCCCGTTACATCACCCCCCCCTAACCATCAGTCACTTTAGTGACTGATTGACTAAATGGATACT